GGAGATCAACCGACTCACATGGCAATACAATCTGGGAGGATAGCCCCCTCATTCATGCCGCGCGAAATGGCCATCTTGCTGTACTTGACGGTGTGCATCGAGTCGGAAGTGATAGTCTTGGCGTGCTACAAAGACTAGTTCAAGATCGCGAAGTTGATCTGGCCGATGGTTCTAGACTTGTTTCTCAAGCAACTTACGATGCTATCACGGCGGATCCCACGCTATCTGAAGATCAACGTTCATGTATCCGAGTTTCACCCATTCACCCTTCTTTCCGCATCGTTTCGATTGCTGAAGCTGATCTAAGATCAGCCTCAGCAACATCAGGCAACAATTCAGCCTTTGCTTGGCTAAGTTCTGACACTATTTCCATGTTCAGCTTCCATTCTATTCCAGCAATATCTTGCACACAAAGTGCGCAAATTATTCGAAGTTTGTTTCCCACACTTCCAACGGAGACAACAAGGTAAGCTTTGCTTGTGCTTGCCAACAATCAAGTTATAGTTTTAAAGTTTTAAACGGTTTTTATGAGTAGTACCCTCTTAGCGTTTTCAGATAAACTGCAGAGCGCATTGAAAGAACAATCCAATCGTGAATACCTCGCGCTTTCGTTGTCGACCCGACAAATCCTTCGAATTTGCCGTCGACTCAATGCATTTCCAGAGCAGTCCCAACAAGATCTGCGGCCGTTGGTGCATGATGCACTACTAACGCAATTCTTGTCGAGAACATGCAAACAACTTGTCGATTCATTGTTTAACAAGTGCAAAGCACCGAACCCGACGACTTCCATTCAACACCTAAATTTGCATTCGGAAACAATTCGTGTTGAAGGAGGCCACTTGTATATTGACAACGTCTTGTATCCAGTTCAAACCCCAAAAAATCCAGAACTGGTGCCTCAGCCACATTATTTTGACATTCCCAAACACACACGCTGTATGAAACATATGCTCCAGGATGTTGTAGCGGGTCAAAAACATTTACTGCTGATTGGAAACCAGGGAGTGGGGAAAAATAAACTAGCAGATCGATTATTACAGCTGCTTCAGCAAGAGCGGGAGTACATTCAATTGCATCGTGATGTAAGTTGTTCTCTGGTATAGATTTTTTTGTTCGGACTTTGCTCAGCATGTTTTGTTACTATACATTAGACAACTGTGCAGACACTAACGTTAATCCCGACGCTATTAGACGGTCGAATTGTTTGGGAAGATTCACCACTTGTTCGGGCTGCAAAGGCAGGTCGGACATTAATTGTCGATGAGGCTGACAAAGCGCCACTTGAGGTGGTTTGCGTCTTAAAAGGTCTCATCGAAGATGGCGAAATGCTTTTGGTATGAGCGTATGAACGTCCATAGATAAAACATCACCAGACACATATTGTATTCTTTAATGGCTGTAATGTAGGGAAATGGCAAGCGTCTCATCGATCCAACAAAAACAGCTATTGATAAGTGGCACGACAAGGACAGGATCATTACATTGCATCCAAACTTTCGTATGTGGGTACTCGCAAACCGCCCCGGGTTTCCATTCCTTGGTAACAACTTCTTTCGCGAAATTGGGGATATCTTTGCTACTCAGTAAGTTTCTCATGTCGATCGTATCGGCGACATCTCTGACGACGTTATGTAATGTTCAGCGCGATTGAAAACCCTGATGAAGAGTCCGAGCTGGCATTGCTGACAGCGTACGCGCCAAGTGTTTCAACTGATATTCTGCGTCGACTTTGTAAAGCCTTTGCAGAACTTCGTGAATTGGTGGAAACTGGTTCGATCACATATCCGTACTCAACGCGAGAGGCGGTTGCAGTTGCCAAACATCTTGAGCGATTTCCGAATGACGGAGTCCCATCAGTTTTGGTAAATACCTAGAAACCTGGTGCGATTATTGATTTGTGAAATTAACTAATTGAATCGGCTGTAGGAAAATGTTCTTGCGTTTGATGCTTATGATCGCAATGTTCGCAAGCAGTTGTCAGAGCTTTTTGTAAGGTGTGTAACATTATCCAAACGTTAGTGTTTGAATGCATTTCTTAACCAAACTTGGCGTTGTATAATGAAAGTACTAATCAATGAAAATTTAACGTTTTTGTTCCTGCTTTATCAATGATTCAGAAATGGTATTCCTTTGTCTCCCACGGGCGAAGTAATGACTTTTTCAATGAACATTGCCAAAACGCGGACTATTCCTAAGCTCATATCCACCGAATCATGGCGATGGGTGCCTGAAGAATGTGTACAGTCCGACACATTCGTCAAGAAATCTCAAATTTACCATTCGTCTCTAGATCGGCAGCAAATTTGGGTAGACCCACCAACAACGCGTACATTTTCAGTGGATCACCACCGTTTGCACCAATTTACCGAACAAGTAGCCTCATTCCAAGTTCCTATTAAAGAAAATAAGCAACAAGTTTACGCGATGGCTGTCTTTCCAGATAATTCAATTCACGTTTTAACGACTCAACCAATGAGCATACACTCTTTTTCCAACTTTGAGGGAGAAGAAAGGTGATGTTTACTGTCATTTTCCATGCATCTTGCGACGTCAAACTGACACCTTTTTGTAGAAAACACATCATCTTGGAGCTAGAAAACGAATACGTGCGATGGGAAACCAACCCAATATTTGTCAGCCTACCTAAGAAACGACAAGTTGCAATTTTCATGCCAAGTACAGGTAAGTAATAGAAGTTATAGATGTGAAAAAATATTTTAGCTCTTTAGAATCTCATGCATTTTCTGATTAATAGGGGTCACAATTGTCATGAATCCATTGAAAGTCTCGGATGGGCGAATCACTTGCCTCACTCTCCCAAATGGTGCGCTCGATGGACGTCTGAATTTTGATGCTAGCGTATCGCATAGTATAAAAAGCCCCTTTACAAAGTGGTTTGGTGGCAAAAAAAGTGGGTCGTGGCGCACTCTCGCCGATGGTTTGAATGCGGGAATACTACTTCGCTTTATACAAGAAGGATCGCTTTTCCAGCTTATTGATTTAAATTCCAGCAAGATTTTGTCGATCGATCTGGCCACAACCAGCTCTTCGTTAAAGATGCCAATTTCTGAAATTTTGAGTGTACAACCTGTTGGTAAACATGAATGGCTCGTGCGAACAAGAGACGACAAGTTCGTGTACAAATTTACGCATAATTTTAGCACAAACGAATTTACCTTGGAATTGGCAGCGATAAGCTATACCAACGTTGCTTCCGTGAGCTCAAGCCAGTCAATAATTCCCGGACAACGAGACATGGCAAATAAAGCAAGGTTTATGGTACACCCGCACGCTTTTCTGCAGACAATCGACATAAATGGAAATGACATTCATGTTCACAGTGCCCTTCGGGAAAACTTGGACCATAAAGACGTGTCTCGAAATCTCCAGCAAGCTTGGCAAAACGAATCTTGCATTGTCAATTCAAGTTCCGGCGACGTTGTCGATCTGGAAGTGACGTTTCCAGAGCTTCGATTAACAAAAACGATCGTCGTTCCCAATGACAGTCACAGATTAGAAACCACAACTGATTCTCGTGTACCGCGTGTTGTCGGAATAGCCGATTCACATGATGGTAGCTATACAATAACCCTTCAAGAAGACGGTACTGTGCGTGTATGGCAATTGAATCCAGAAATACTTGACCGTGAAGCTCAGTTGTGGCGGCAAATGTTCGGCAATGAAAGTGATCTCGAATCTCATGGTTCAATTGAGATAAAGCTTAATGGCTCAAATGTCGGTGGATCGTCGATCCCAAAGACGGGTCTGAACGTTCCAAAACATGGCAAAGAAGACCCGAAAAACGATCCACATGTTGGTGGCAATACTTGGGCTGGTGGAAGTGGCGGGTCTGACACGGCTGGACTGGGAG